TAAGATTCTTGTGTCATATCTACAGGCCATATCTGGTCCCGTTTCACTTTGATTACCCTGTCAAACAAGTCAGCCTTCGCCCCTGCTCATCCAAACAAAACGCAGAGTATTGTGATTTTCACTGACTCATTATCTTTCTTGAAAGCAATAGAAAATGACGAGCATCTACACCTTGACACATAATAATACTGTTTGGTTCCCATCACCTGATAACATCCTGTTGCGTCAACCTGGTGATGCAGTGGATTCCCGGACTCTCAAACATACCTGGAAATGACAGGGGCAAACACACTCGTCAAAATGGATCTAGACAAGAACAGCTCAACACTCCTCCACATACAATACTGCAAAACAAATCATCAAAAGCAACAGCAAACAGGATTGGATGAACAGATGAGCCTTGGGAAAGACAGGCAGAGCAGATTTAATTCATATGACCACAACAAAACGAAATGACAATATCAACCACTTACAGAGAAAGAAACAGACCACCATCTTAAGCCCACGAACAGAACATACAGCTCAACTTTCACTTGAACTGAGTAAAAACCAGAACTTCCCCTTATGTGTCCTTTGTGTGACTATGCTTATGTATGAGGCTGTGAATCATCACCTTTTCCACTGTACTGCCGAAAGTGACATCAGAGCTACACACTGACACCCCGGGGCGGCGCCACTGACTGAAGTGTCTTTAGGCCATTCCCAATGGGGGGACATTTCTCGTTCATGCACAGTAGAATTGTAAATGGGCTGATTCATCAATGTCATGCTCATAACTATGCCTGATCTGCAACAGGGAACTGCTACTTTTTCTTTCCTAATCTTTACTATTGTCATTTTTCCTCTTCTTCTTTTTTATGTTTGTCACACTCTTGTGACCCCCTATTTACGGGGTGCCTTGATAGTCGAAGCAGACTTTGTGCTGTTGAAGCTAGAGAGGTGAGCCCTGTATGGACTTCTCTGTTGACATCCACCTCTTAGCGCTCATATGACCGTATAAAGTTGCGAGCGCCGTAAAACCTCCACTAAAACTAAAAAAGAGCTACACTTCTCCCTCCGAGACCTAACATTGACAACACACATTCTTGGAACATTACAGCAACTGCAACAAACCTGCACTTATCCCTACATGGCATTGGACAGAAGGATGAGAGCCCAGCTGTTGCTGGATCGATAACAGCAACAACAGCAACAACAGCAACAACATCCGTACCTACCTAGGCGAAATAAAAAACAAACAGCAACAACCCGGAAAAGCCAGAGTTTAATGGACGCGCT